GTGATATTTGCAATTATCAAATTATCGTTACTATGATATTATCTGTATAACAAAATATAAATTTCTTAATCGAAGATGGAAAAATAATTATTCTTGTCTTGACAATATTTTTAATCCTTATTATGATCACTAATATTATCACATGTTGCTCCCCTACGACGAAAATGACACAACTCAAAATATGATTTTTTTCCAGTTATTATACTATAAAATTATTGCAAAAGCAATCCTCGATCAATTATGAAAATCTGTTTATTGATCTTTATTATTTGGGCAGTAAAGAGGAATTATATTGCTCTTCCTGATTCCACTGCTGCATTCTACAGGGTGTCCCAAATTTAAATATCAAAACTTCAGAAGCATGTAGAGAATAAACTAAGAAACAAAGTCCTTTAGAAATTTATATTGGTTTTGCTCCATTTTGGAGAATATCGCTATTTTTGATTATGATGACTCTTTTTAAAATTTTTACTTAAAATTATTTTCTACGTTTAATCGCTTCTACTCAATTGGTTTTACTTTTCTTGTAATGATTATAAAATTAATTTCGTTTATTTATTTCGCTTCTCTTTTACATCTGACATATATATGTAGTATATCTATTTTTATCGCGAAAAGTCATTTGACCCGTTAAATATTGTAAAACATTGTCTAATCTAAAATCATTTCATATGTATTATCAGCTTGTAGCAAAAATTTCTTTCGTTTCATTAATGAATAATGCATGCATAGTACATTATGTTTTACATTATTGAATTTGATTCTGATCTATTATCTTTCTTTGTCTCTTCGGGAGTCTCAATAATGCCATTTCCAAAATTTATAGAATTTGCTAGTGATATTGGAGATGCATTATTATGTTATTTATTGAGCCATGGAAGAAATTTTATAATAAAAGGATAATCAGACAAGGATGTTTTACCTTTACTTCATGTTCAGTATTATAGTAATTCATTTTACTTCATATGTTACTTCATATTACCCCGTCTGATTACTATTTATTCCTTTCATTTAAAAAATGAAACTTCTGCAGCAAAAGATTTGGCTCAAAAAATGACATAAGAATGCATCTCGAATATTTCACTAGCAAAACCTAGAAGTTTTGGAAAGATGACACTATGAAACTTTCAGAGAAAGTGGGTTGTATACAATTCAGTAAGATGATGTAAAACATAAAATATTATAAACATTATTCATTAATAAAACTTTTGGAATAACCTAATAGATGTCAAGGCAACAAAGTCTCAATTCTAAAGCAAATTTGGCAACTCCCTGTTCCAAAAGTAATTAGAGAATTTCCTGAGATCACCTTTTTATTTGTATATTATGATTATCATATTGCAATTCGTAATTTATTGTAGATTATCGCAATAATAAAATAATTGGGTATTCGTCAAATATAGTGCTATTTGTACTATGAAAAATTAGTACTTGTAAAGTACCATTAGATAAGTAGTAAGAAAAAACTTATAACGCTGGTAGTTAATTTTATATATATATAAATATATATATATAGTTTACTCATTATTTCAAATCGTAATAATGTCGAAAAACAAGAACTTATTGGAAGAAATAAATAATATAACTGAAGAATAACTCTGAAATTGATGAAGACAATTTGAAAGTAAAGATGGCTTATTTAAAAGTAATGATGATCACTTCAATAGTGAATATGAGATGACTGATAATAAGGAAGAAAGTATTTTCAATATTTATGTAGGGCACAAGAGAGGATGAGGTTGCTGATAGATTCTGAAGACGATAGTGAAGAAAATGAAGAGCAGAACATTGAAATTGCTGTAGATGAAAAGTGCATGACAAAAACATTCAAGTTCTTTATAACCATTTTTTATTATTTCAGTATGCAAGTTTTATTTTTTATTATTATTAATCATTTATTTATATTTATTAATCATTTTTCATATATTTATCATATATTTATTAATCATTTATTATTTCAAACACTTATTTCCACAGTTATCTACATCCAAATGGAAAGGGATCATTTATAGAGATCATTTTATCTAAGTAAAAATAGATATTTATAAGAAAGCGATAGAAATAGTGTTAAAACAATGATTAGTGAAAGCCGTTTTAATGTGATCATATTTAAACTTATTTTCATAAAATGTTTTATATAATAGATACATGTATTTCTGAAGGAACTGTACAAAAGAAGATACAGTGCATATAAAGTAAAAAATCAGTTTCAAGTATGAAAATACCCAGTATATATAATGTATTACTTTCAAATAAATCATATCGATATTTTAAATTAATTGTTATTTAACTTTAATTTGTGTGAACAAATTTGTTTATTTTATAAATATAGAAATATAATTATAATATGGATATATATTGTAGATTTCATTCTTGCACAGTCAAAGAATAATTTCAAACATGAAACAAAAGGCTAAACAAGAAAATTAGCACATATTTAATATGTATATTATATATTGAATGTACATTGAAGGTAATACTGAGAAAGAATTTTCGATAATTCAAAGTCATCACTTTATTTTCAATAGGTTTTGTATAACTTTCTCATAAATTAAGATTAATATAATAAAATAAATAAAAATAAATTCAGGAAAAACTAACGAAAAACGCAATGCAAACGCAATAAAAATATATTAAAGAAACTTACATATACAAAGAATTAAATTCAAGTAGGAATTTCCTCGAACTACTAGATTAAATTAAATTATGTAAGGACATAATTGCATGTTTTCTCTTAAACCTTCTCTTTTTTTTTTTTAATTTTTTAAAATTTGTGTAATACACATACAATAAAACTGGGTATTTCACATGTATATCATATAATATATTGTAGAAAGTACATTGTGTGGAACAACTAAGTCTTTTCAATAAACAATAGCAAAACTTCTAATTTTTTTACAAGATCAATACCTTCTGCTTTACAGCATGAAATACGAACTTTCATGATCAAGATGAAAGATACATTCTATACGTTATCTATAACTGTATTTTACATATTCAAAAAATTTAAATATACATATAAAAATATGTACATACATACAAATATATATAAAAAATGTACAATGCACATATGTAAAAAAATATTTGAAGTAAAATACCCGTCATAATATTTATGTACGTACAACGAAACAAAATTTTATTTAGATTTCATTTTTTCAGTTGTGCACATAAAAATACGAAGTAGCATAAATATCTGCAATCTATTTATAACAGTTATCGATACGAATGAATATTTCAAAACTTGCATGAGATTTAAGTACGTTTGTTAGAGGGCAGCACAAGATAATCAATTACACATCAGAGATGAAAAGGAGCGCTGTAAGCAAAACCGGCCGACGTGTTCTTGACACCAGAGTTTAGAGACGAGAAAATAATATTATACTTAATATTTATTGCAATAAAATTATAGAAATTCATTATATTTAATGAGAAATGAAAACTTACCTCTTTCTGTTTATGTGTTGAATACATCGTCGGATTCAAACTAGTAACTACTGTATCCAACCTTTAACCGACAGAGTGTCAATTCGGTAGTTTTAATTTTCAACAGAACGTTACTTGTCGATTCATAGCAATTACACACTCACTTTCTCGACACTATCGTCCCGTAAATTTTCCCGTTTTAAGCAACGACAACAATTATTCAAACACTTTTTCAACAACATATTCAGGAACAAAATTATCAATCACGAAACAACCGCATGGCATGGCGACCACGGTTATAACTCGCATATACAGTGCTTTAAACGAACGTCACATCCTTGATCTTTGTTACTATTGGCTAATCTTCAAAGAATCGACCAATCAGCTTCGAAATTTCCGTAGTACGCGGGAAAGTAAAATAAATTCTATTAGAAATGTTGAAATTAAAGAAAGAAACAGAAAAAATATCAAGATATGCCATTTTGTTAATAGGTTTGAATATATTTTACCTCTAAATAGTAGCGTTTTCTTAAAAAATATAAAATATAAAGTCAAAAGAAAAATTATTATTTTCAATTGCACAAAAACGACAATACACAATAAAATGGGCTTATGATTATATACCGTCGCCATTGTGTCCACTACTTGAATTAAATTCAAATGGCTACTTTTTAATTGTATTGCAATGAGTGTTATTTATAATGTAAATGCAGAGAAAAAATAAATTACATTACTGTTAAATCAAATAAGGAATGAAAATTTTTAATATTTTTACAAGAACATGACTTTTGTGTGTGTGTGTGTGTGTGTGTGTGTGTTAAATAACTCACATTGATTAAAATCATCTTAATTATTTACAATAAATTAAGAAATACTAATTCAAAATAAAAATTTAATAAAAATATTAGTAATATATTTCATATAGTAATATATTCCATATCTTTGTTTGAAGAAAATAAAAATTGCTTCCAACTGCACACTTGTATTTTTAATTTTCATATTATAAAAAAAATATATTATAGTGATTATATATTAAATCAACAATACATATATTTAATATAAAAATATATTAACTCATATAAGTTTAATTTGAAAATATATTAACTCATATTTTTAAATAAATATTAAGAAAAAATTTCAAAAAGAACTTATTTTTAATATATATATATAAGAATATAAAAAAACATAAAAGAATGTAAAATTATATATAAACATTTTTTTATGTTTTTTTATATTCTTGTTATTAAATAACATAAAAGATACATAAAGATAAATAACGGAACATAACATAAAAGATAAATAACATATAAACAAACATTGTTTTTTTAATTGTGAATGACGACAATAGAATATTTTTTAGAAAACACTAAAATAAAATAAAATTAAGTGAATAAATCAACTACTATATTTACAAGTAATGAATAGAAAAAATTTGTTTAAAATTTAGCGTCACGACGAGGCGGGTTGAAGGAGGGGAGTGTCGTAATAACGCGTAACTCTAAGATGGCAGCACTTAAAATACGCGTTCTTCGGCTTGATATGTATTATAGAATTTAAAAACTTTCATGTAAATCTTTCATAATTGATGAAAAATTAACAAATGAAATGAAAGTTAAAATATTGTCCTTATCATTCAAAATATCGGGTGATCCAAGACTAACAGATGTTTGTTGAATTTATAATCAAATGATGAATTATTTAAATAATTCGATAGGCAGTGCAGTGACTGGTGATTCTGGCTTGCAATTGAACAATGTAGAAGTATTATATAGTAAAGTGCAAAGAGTTTATATGAAACCGCAAAATAAAGAAGAACGTCAACGCGAGCTGAGAGTTAATGTGGAAAGCCATGCGGGTATTAGTCCTGTGTGTCGCAAAGTAACGTATTTTACAATGTTTGCATTAACCTAATAATTTGTTGATATATTAACGTTGATCTATCAATGTTTCTATAGATGATTTTTCGTATTAGCGAAATTTTTCGTATTTCTATTTTTTTTTGTTTTTATTTACTTACTGATGTACATTAAAGGATTTTAAATTTTTACTTACTGATGTGCATTAAAGGATTTTAAATTTTTAAATAATTTATAGAAGCGTATAATAATATATCATATACTTATATTTCAGAGTTTGTGTGTTTTGCTAGCAGATGATGACGACCCATGTTTTCTTTATTCCTTGTTCATTACGGAAGAAGATTTTAAAATTTTAAAGTCTCAGCAAGGTCTATTAGTAGATTTTGATAATTTTGCAACTCAATTAATGTATTTGTTAGAACAATGTCAAATACCTTCCGGAAACTTATCAAAATCGCCACCGAAATTTTTGTTATTATTAGCAGAAGAAGGTGGAGAATGGATATTAAAATTGGTTGAAACAAATAACTTTAAACATTTATGTCATTTAAGCTTAAATATATCACCTGCAAGTGATTCAGATTTAAAGACACACATGGCTATGAAAATTAAACAATTGAAAGAAAATATTTTACAACAAAATAGAGATGCGCTTGCACTTGAAACAAGACTGAGTGAGTTGTTAAATAAAGTAGAAACAAAAACAGCAGAATTAGATCAATTGGAACAAAAGTACATGACTGAAAAAAGTCAAATGCAAATATTTTCATCAGAGCAAATAAGTCTTGAAAAAGATAGGTATGTATAACTTTTCTATAAGTATTCGTACCCTTTTAAATTGTATGTTTAATGCTTTAAAAAAATGTATATTATATTACATAATTATGGTACGTTACAAATGTATATTACATTACATAATTATGGTACATTACAAATTCTACAATGCTTCTATTTCAGTAATAAGATACAAGTGTCATAATTATAGATGTAAAGTTTGAATAGCAGACTAAAATGTCAATAATATTTATAAAATAGCTTTTGAAAACATTAATGGTATAAAGACCACAAAAGTATAAGAATGTAAAGAATATAAACTACATAAATATTGTAATGTGATAAATTTATGTATTATTTAAATATCAATATGACAAAATGTAAACATTGACATGATTAGTTGATATGACATATTTACTAGTCAGTATTATGAATATTGACAAAATTAAAAAACTCATTAATAATATATTTAAAGAAAACAGAAACAAGAGTGTCTGATAGAGATTAACAATTAAGTAGTATAATGAAGACAAGTTATATAATGAAATCAAAATTATTAGAAAGCTATAAATCTAAAATACACATATGAGAAATGAGAATATAAGAAAAATTTAAAACAAAATGTGGAAAAATTAGGCACAATAGACAATTTTCATTTCCAACAGAACAATGATTTTAACATACTGCTCATAAAAATGATATACAATCTATTACATATTTTGAAAACATCTTCCTAAAATCCAGATCTCAATTCTATTGAGCATGGGCAGAGATTGGTAAAGGACTATCTAAATGGTACAAACTCAAAAAAAGAATTAAAAGACAAAATTATAAAATTTTATTATTTAGAGCAGAATTATTATTATTCAGAAAAAGATAATTGAAAATTTGATGAATAGAATGAAGCAACATTTACAAAGTATTAAAATTTAGTATATTTGTTATAAATATGTGATATACTTTTGTGGTGTTCATGTCGTTGATATTTGCAAGAACTACTTTATAAGTATTGTTGTCATTGTCAAATTTTACATGTCAGTACATTTTCAATTTTACATTTTACTATTGGCATAAAAGCATCGTGGAGTTCATAATGTAAGTTTGATTTCAAAGCATACTGTATGTATCTATATTAAATATTTATTAAGTATTTCTGAAATTCTTATAGATTTGCTAAAGCACAGTTAGAGTGGCAATGTCAAAGTGAAAAACAAAAAATAGAAATAGAACGTAGACATACAGAAATTATAAAACAGCTTCATACTGAACTTGCAGAATTACGTACACAAAATTTGACATATAAAGATAAATTATCTCTTCTTGAAGCAACTAATATGGAACAATTTAAACAGCTGCAAAATCTTGAAAAAGAACTTAATGTCACTCAAAGAGATTTGAATCTACTGAAAAAACAAAATTCTAAACTAGATACAGACTATCATGAGAAAGATAAATCAGTAAACAGTTTAAAAACAAAAGTTGCTGTACTTGAACAAGAATTAAAAGATAAAGGTGTACTTATTACCAAACATACTGAAATGTTAAAAACTGTTAAAGAACAAAAACAACATCTTGAAGATCTTTTAACTGAGAAAGAAAATCAATTACAACGTAAACAAAATTCTTTACGAAATGTAAGCGATGATTTAGTCAAAGCTCATGATATATTAACAAAATTACAAAACGAACTTGCTTCAACTAAATCTAAATTAAAATTAAGAACTAGTATAGCACTTGAACAAGAAAGATTATTAGATACTAAACAAAAAGAAGTTGGCCAATTAGAAATCAAAATGGAAAATTTAATGAAAGAAGCAAAGGATGCAAACACAGAGATTGAAAATTTGAAGGAACAACTCAAAACTCAAAAAAGTCAGTTAGAAGAGAAAGAAAAAATAATAAAAAATAATGATAATGGTAATTTAATATTTTTAATATATTTACTATAAAATTTTTATGTAATTACTAAATACATAGACTAATAATTTTTCTTTCATTCACTCTATACTTGTTTACTTTATTCTTTTTTAAATAAACTTTTGTTTTATAAATATTATTGTGTTATTATTGTGTTATAAATACTTTTTTATATTTTTACAGTAATTAGTTGGTTAAATCGACGATTAGCAGACAGTCAATCTCCATTACAAAATACTACTGCAGCAGCAGCAATTACTGTACCATCTTCAATTCAGTTAACATTACCTCGAACGAATAAATTAATTAGTAATAAATATGAAACACGTACATCTGCACCTAATACAGTACAATCAAATGCGTTATCTGGATTGCCACTAAGAAATCCCATTATACAAAATCCAAATATTAATCAAACTACACGTATGACAGCACGCTCAATGGGTGTTGGTATTACGGATAATACAATAGGCATATCAACGTTTACTAAAAGTGGTGTTTCAAGTACTAGTACACCTATGGAACGTATCAATTCTTTGAACAAATTGCCTGGAAATGTTGCAGGTTCTTCTTCAATGCCAGCCATTGTAGAAAATAACAATTCATCTGTACCATTAAATAGTACAAAGACAAAAAGTACAAGTATTACACTACAAGGTGGATTAAGAAGAGCAGGTTTGTCTGATAAACCAATTTTACCATCTGCATATTTTCCTAAAACATTACATTGATTAAATATGAAACAAAAATTATCAGTATATATGTAAAGTAATAACATACATCAAAGTTGGATGTTGCCATACAAAAGTACTATGTATAAGATAGATGATTAATATTCCAATTAATGTTAAAAAACAGTACAAAATAGTTACACAAAACAAGTAACATTAAAACAAGTTTTAAATTTTATATTTAAAGATTTTATAAATTTATGTGCATGTATTGTAAGAAAATAGTGTATATATGTATATGTATATATAT